TTTTTTTTTTTTTTTTCATTTTGTTTTGGTGATCCCAGTGTAGAATTATTAGATGAGCTTTTTAGTTAGTATTTGAATTTTGCTTTTACATTTTATACAGAAAGGGATACTTTACTTCCATAATCATGAAATTATGGTTACCTAATCACAGTAAACTTGACATGGATTTTTTTTTTTTTGCTTTCTGTTTAGGATCAGGAAGAAAACAAGGGAGCAACAAGTTGGCCTGAATTCTACATCGATCAGCTCAATTCCATGGCTGCTGTAGGTATACTTTCTGCTCAGTGGCACACAGTTTAAAATGCAAATTTAGCACACAATTGCACAATAAATTCATTTGAGTAAGAACTACCAAATGTCATTATCTTTCCAAACTCCGTTCCAAACACTCAGTGTTGGCGGGGAGGGGCAGGGGAAGGAGGGCAGCAGTGGTACTTGGCAAAATGATTTTTTCCAGTATGTTTTACATAAAATCAGCACACACTAAAATATATGTGAATTTAATGTTAAAAGAGGAAATGTAATCTAAATCTGGCTTATGTTCAACTTTAACTTGCAGTTGCTCTTACCAGTCATTTGGAGCATTGTTAGGGCAGTACTATTCTACAAGTTAATACCATTTTAAAATAATACAATGAAACTATTCCTTCACTGTTCTCCTCCCATTCTCCTCTTCACCTCGGACTTGCTTAGTTACTAGATTCTTGATTTTACAGGGCAGCCAGGTACTCTTTCACTCCTATAAATAACAAAGGGAGTTTATGGAATAAGTGGTGAATAAAAGACATAATAATTATGCTGAGATGTCCTTGGGAAATCTTTGGTTAAGTAATTGCTTAAAATGCATTTTCAGTGCCTAAAATACGCCTTCTGATCACATGGATGTCTGTGTAATGTCAGCATTCTTGAGCACCTTAAAGGGCACCTATTGATCCCAGCTAAAATATGCAGCAGAAAACAAGTCATCAACCTTTGAGCCTTAGTAAATCAGATCCTATTCATGTCGATAAAAACTGCCGATTGCCCGTGGTGGGTCTTTTCCGTCTTTTCCTCTGTGGGTACACTCATGATTTTAAGATCACTCTGTTAGATTCAACTTTGAGTTTATAATATCCAAGCACGATGGTAGCTTCCATAATAAATACTTTTCTCTACCTTTCCTTTTCTTCCTTCCCCAGGGTCTTTTTGGAGAATTAGTTACTTAACACTGAAGGCAGACATTTGAAAAAAAAACAATATCTAATATTTTGTTGCTGCTGCAAAAGTTAAAAACTGATTAGAATATGTGAATCACTCACACTTTTTTACTAAACTTTCAGAGACCTTGGCTTCTAGTAACTTCCTCTTTTCTAGCTTTTTCTTTGAAGATATTTCTTCTGCTTTTGCACAATGAATAATAAACAGCCTAGTAAATGTGAACGGGGCTGTATAAATTATAGAAGAAACTGCATAAGCTTTTGCCCCGAGGATTTCTAGTCTAAAAGCACTGCAGAAAATAACATCCAACATCCTTATCCAAGGCTTCCTACACAATGGCAAAGATGAGAAAAGGGTGATCTCAGCAGTTGTATAAATACGTTAGCAAAGTGTGGGGCTTGTGACGACCATCAGGGATTCTTCTGTGCACAGCCTAAGCAATAATAAGTTAGAGCCATTTACATTTCCTACGTGTGGAGGTTAAGTTCTAAATTCTTGTTCCTGGCTGTTAGGGAAAAAAAAGAGCTGTGGGTCAGGCTGTCTCTCTTTCTGATTAAGTCAGCATTGTTTGATGTAACAAGGGAAGTTGCTTCTTCGTTAATGAATTCACTTCTATAAATGGAAAAGTGCTAAATACTATGGCATTTTCTTTTTTTCAAATTTTGGGGGCAATTAGGTTAATTTGTCCTTTAGTGACTTAACCCATGCCTTGTATGGAGTCAGCCTGGCTCATTTCCTGCACAAGAAGGTCTGTGATGTGTGCTTTGAGCCTCCTTTCTCCTTCGGCCAGCTCCTTGGACAACCCCATGCTGCATTCATGAGTCATCTACATTTTAATTGTATTTGCTTCCTAATCCGAAATCCTTTCCGAGAGTATCTCAAGGCAATTAAATTGTCAGTCATTTTGCTATTCTTTATGTGCTTAACACCTAACAAAGCTTTCTAATGCTCCTTTAAGGACAGAGCTGGTATCTTTCTAGGGTTAAAGGTAAAATGCAGTAACAACTCCTGAGTTAATGAGACCTCAGAACTCCATATATAACAGACAAGGAGGTCTGATGAGACCAAAACCCTATGCTGAATTTTCTGTTTTTCTCACCAAATTTGTTGCCACCACCTCCTCCTGTGGTTCTGGCTGGTCTCTCTGCTAACTGTAGTGGAGAATTCCCAATGACACACAGCAGAGAGCCTGAGACATTGTCCCTGGGGACTGGAAAGACATACAGTTCCTCCAAATCGTTTCATGGCCCCACAGCTCAACTTGAGCTCTCTAGCCTAGGGATTTGTTCAAGGGGATTTATCCACATTGTTATCGTCCTTTGTCTTCAGCATCACTAGCGACTACTTCTCTTGAGCGCGCAGCATTTGACAGGCAGTATAATAGGCACTTTACGTGTTGTTTTAAATCCTTCACAAGCACCCCGTGCTGGAACTACTATTTATAGAAAGGAGTCTGGGACTTGGAGAAAGGTTACCTTGCCCAAGGTCATCTAATTAGGAACAGTAGAGCTGGAATTTAAACCTATCAGTCTGAGCTCAAAGATTCCATTCTAATTTGCCTCTCACTCAGTTTTTAAAACCCTTTGGCAAGTCAGAGAGGCCTGGTAATCACCGCCCCCCTCCCCCCGCCCCTGCCCCGACCTCCCGACTTTTCTGAGGTGGGGCAGGCATCTGTTTTCTTTAGTGCTTCCAGAATCTGATGAACAGTCCAGGTTGAGAACTGCAGCACTTCCTGGTCTACGAAGCCATTTGTGGAACAAGTTCAGTTACGTTACGTAAGCTTCTTAACAAGAATGCTTTGTTCTTTAAAGGACCCCGGAGTGATCTGTTGGCTTTTAAAGAGTGAAAAACAGTATAATAAAAGTACAGCGCAACAGGTTCAAGAAGGACCTGGGCTTCCTTTGGATGTGGCTTCACCGTGCGCTCTCAGGGAGGAAGGATGTGAGGTGAAGTTCAGCGTGCTTAGCAGACTGGCTTATTGATTTCACACCAGTGAAAGGTTTCCAGCAGGAGCTTAGCTCCAGACCCCCAGGCAGGAATGATGTCGTGCCTACTTTGTATCTCTCTCTCAGATCTGTGTGTTCCAGTGTACACCTTAGTAGCTTGTATCAGAAGATGCTCTCCCAGGAGGCACTTTGTCCTTTGCCCACTTCTCAGGTGAGCAGGGATCTAGTAAGTACATAGAGCTCCCAAGGAGGCCGCCACAAGCCTCACCTGAGTATGCCAAGGTGCATACTACATGGTTGGCCTAGCAGCTATCTTTAGAAAGGTAGGCATGTCTCCTCTTTCTGTGAAAAACTGCAAATCAAGCCTTCTTCCTAAATGTGAAGCTTGAAAACTTTAGACTTCATATAATTTATTTTATTTTGAAAAGTCACATTAGAATATCACATTCATCTGCATATCCTCAGTTTTCTCAGTATAACGAACACAATCTTTGATTCAAATCTAATTTTATCACATACAGAAAAGAGTGTGTTGCCTGAAAGGAAGGTAATGGTCCTTACACTGGGAAAGGAAATTCTAATTCAATTTTCTTGACTTTTTATAAATCTCCCAGCTCTACTAGCGAGAGACTTAATGTAGTCTGTCTTTATTCAGATGTTCCACACACTCCAACGTTAAAAGAATAAATACGTACATCTTTCTTTGGTATTAGTGAGCCATAATAAGAAATGCGTGTCTTTAATTTGGGTATAGTTTTGTGTGATTAAGCTTAGGGACAAGCAGTGATGTTCATAAATGGCTTGATTCTGAGCTGCAGATTCAAAGTGATTGCTTCAGAGTCTAAAACGAGTTCAGCTGTGCCATAGGAGATTAAACATACTTGGCTGGATTCGGGCTGAATTTTCCAGGGAATGGGTCTCACAGAGCTGTGAAGAAATTTATTGGCTATTTCTGCACACAGCTTCTTCCCCTGCCGTCCTCTGGTCACAGCTGTCCAGGCACATCACCAGCAAGAGGGGACAGTGTCAGCGGAAACAATAACACGTTTGAAAAACAAGACTTTACTGATTCTTATTTCAGTTGCCTTAAATGATACTGATATATTTCTTTGTTTGGAGCTTTAACCCTCCTAATTGTGAAGTCAAATTTAGGTTTTAGTTAACATTTAGTTACTTACTACTGATACTATTAACTTGAAAAAATGAAGTGAAGTTACCCTTTGATGATCTGCAGTCCTGAAAGAAAGGGAGAGACTGGATCATTGAGACACAGGGATAAGAAACAAACTTTTTTTTCCCCCCAGTACCTCAGCCTATTTCCCAGCCACGCATTTCATCAGAATTGGTAGCAGGTAAGGAAACTGAGATCTTAAAAAAAAAAGAATAGCATGTGTTCAGAATAGGATGATGGCAAGGGACCAGTGGTTCTGTGGGTGGAGGCTCCTGAGGCCATTAAGACTTGAGGGTACTTTCAGTACAACCAGTTGATCATGGGCTTAAAGGAATGGAAAATACTTTTTCACAAAGATAAACCTTACTAGCATCCATGACTGTAATGTCAACTGAGATCTGTTTCCTTAGAGCCTTGTTCTTCAGAGTGTGGCCCATAGACCTTGTAACATCAGCACTGCATGGAAACTAGTCAGAAATGCAGCATCTTGGGCTTCCCTCCAGACACACGAAATCAGAACCCTCATTTTAACAAGAGCCCCAGGAGATCCATGTCTACATTAAAGTTTGGGAAGCATTGCTCAAAGATCCCCGGTAGGGAGGGTGTAAGCACCCCACCCCCTCCCTCACACACACACTCCACAGCCTAATTTCCAAGTGATGTTAAGTATTTACTCTGACGGAATTGTCCATCTTAGTATCATGTCCGATTTGATTGTTCCTGTTAAATAATTTGATGTAACACAAAGTGTAAAAGATTCTACTTTTCGGCTTGAGGATTCCGCAAACTGCCTTGGTTTGATAGTGTGATAATGTTACTAACTTCAATTGCCAGAATGCTGTATTTAACTGCAGATCCAACCCTCTTTCTATCAAATATAAATAGTAATGTCTTCATCAGAGTGTAGTTATCTCTACTGAAGATTCTAAACATTTCTTAAAGCTTTATTTAAATTTTGAAAGAACTTTCAATAGAGATAACAAATCTGGAATTCTTAGTACTTTTGCTCTATATTTTGGTTTTATAGCAACCCTAGTCATAGATGTACTGATTGTTTATTTGTATTAAAAGTGATATTAGCATGTAATCTGTGGACTTGTCTTGCTTGTACCCTAATTAAATCATAGAATTTGAAGAGGTAACTTCAGTTTTCTTTGCATAGAGAAAATCTCTCCTGGCTTTAGAGAAGGAAGAGGAAGAAGAGAGAAGTAAAACTATAGAGAGTTTGAAGACAGCACTAAGGACAAAACCAATGAGGTAATTCTTTCCTGGGTAGCGTGTATTACTTCTCTCTCTTTTTTTCTTTTTTCTTCTTCTGTCCTTTCTTTCTCCCTTCTTTCCTACCCTACTTTCTTCTTTTTTCTGCAATAGCCAAACTTTCAAGGAAGTCTTAAATTAAAAGCATTCCATTGGATCATGGGTGAAATACTTTAATCATTGAACATTGAATAAATTGATTTTCTTCAATTAAAGATATACAGCCAGCTGTTAAGATGGCTAAAATTTAAAAAGAGACTAGCAAGTGTTGGTGCAGATGTGGAGAAATTGCAACCCTTGTACATTGTTGGTGGGAAAGTAAAATGGTGCAGCCACTTCGGAAAACAGTTGGACAGTTCCTCAGAATGTTAAACATAGTGTTGTTCTATCACTGGACAATTCTACTCCTTGATATATAGCCAAGGGAACAGGAATGTTCATGTTAACAGTATTCATAATGACCAAAAAGTAGAAACAACCCAAATTCTATCAGCTGATGAATGGATAAATAGAATGTGATATATCCATACAATGAATTGTTATTCAGTCCTAGAGAGGAATAGACTATTGATAACATGCCAGAACATGGATGAGCCTTGAAAATATTTATGCAAAGTAAAAGAAGCCAGATGAAAAAAGACAACATACTGCATGATTCCATTTATATGAAATGTCCAGAAAAGACCAATCCATACAGACAGAAAGATTAGTGGTTGCTTAGGGTTGGGGAGGGGGGGAAATGGTCTTTTGGGGAAGACTAGAGTGTTCTGAAATCAGATGATGTCAGTGATTGCACAGCTCTGTGAAAATCACTGAATTGTACGTTTGAAAATATGAATTTTATGGCATGTGAGTTATATCTCAATAAAACTGTTGCTTAAAAGAGATGGGCAGTCAGCCTCTGCTGTGTATCTCCCACACCTTCATTTTCCATTAATTAGTCTTTAAGGTTTGGTGGGATATTGGGATGCTTCTAGGTACATTTCATTAACGTAGGAGCTGTGAATGAAGCCAGTTGATTTAACCAGCTGGGCTATATCTGCATTGTGTGACTGCATGGAATGGCTGGAAAATAAAGATTTCCTTTTCTTAATTTGACTATAAAATGCTAACTAAGAAAAATATACTGATTTATCAAAAATTCTATGTAGTCGTTATGACAGAGGTTTTGTAGCCAATCCTAACTACATCAGTGTGTCCCTATTTGTGTGTGTTTGCATTCTCAGATGTTAATAGGTATCCAAGACTAAATAAGTTTGGAAATTTCTGGAGCAGTCATATAAACAAGTTATGTTACTTCTGAAATTTTCAGAGCTTCACATGTATATGTGCATCGTGAATGATTCTCACTGATCAACTTTACAGTAAATAAATGCCATGGATATCAATTAATATGCAGTAACAAAGACTTGCTTTTGTTTTGTTTTAGCCGTTTATTTATTTAGTTTTTTAAGTAGGCTCCAGGCCCATCATGGGGCTTGAACTCACAAGACTGAAATCAAGAGTCGCATGCTCTATGGACTGAGCCAGCCAGGCGCCCCTTATTTGTTTTACATAGAGGGATTCCAGTAGCATGTCCTACAAAAGAAGAGTTTGCTACAAAATGTTAGTAATATAGATTATCATTTGTTTGACAAATATCCTGGAGCTTAAGGATGCTCTGACTTTCATTGATATGGGTCAATGGTTAACATAAAGGTGTTTAGGGGCTGGATGCTATAATAACACAGGATCAGCAGATGACTTTAACTTAAGACACATATTCTGAGTGTCTTCTTGTTCCTGATTTTACTGTGGTTATATGATCTGTTCATTGTTTTTTTGTATCAGTTGAGATCTGTTTATCTCAAATAGATATTATTTCACATTTCTGGTAGACCTGACCATTGGGTTTGTGCTGAGGAAGAGGTCAGGAATTAAGACTTCATCCATCTAGGTCTTTGGTACTTCAGGAAATACATCTTCCTTTCTCCTGCCCCTGCAAAACTTTTCCTTTAAGGGCTATTAGAAAATTCCAAAGAGACCTAGGTCTGATCCATTTTAACCTTCTTCTCCTGCCAGGTTTGTAACCAGATTCATCGACTTGGATGGCCTGTCATGTATTCTCAACTTTCTAAAGACCATGGACTACGAGACCTCAGAGTCTCGAATACATACCTCTCTCATTGGATGTATAAAGGCGCTAATGAACAACTCTCAAGGTCGGGCTCATGTCCTGGCTCACTCTGAGAGTATTAATGTGATTGCTCAGAGTCTGAGCACAGAGAACATTAAAACGAAGGTGGCCGTGCTGGAAATCTTGGGCGCCGTGTGCCTGGTTCCCGGGGGCCACAAGAAGGTTCTGCAGGCCATGCTGCACTACCAGAAGTATGCCAGTGAAAGAACCCGCTTTCAGGTGGGCATGCTCGCTCTACGCTTTGTCATCCACCCCTTCTGACAGGTGCTTTCCTGGCCCTGAGGGGGGGAGCATAACTTGACATTTCCCTCTGTGGTGATGACTCAAGTGTTTCCTTCCTCTTGGGTTTTAGTACCAGAGTATAATATGCTTTCAATAGTTGATCAACCTGGGATTTTAGATTTACTGAATTTGAAAATATGACCCTGCTTCCTACACATGCTGTAGCAGGTATCTTTTGAATTCACTAAATGCAGTGTTCCCTGAAAGTCTTAACAGGTTGCCATTCTTGATTTAGTATCAATATAAACAGTGAGATCCTGTCACCGTATTTATACCCAAATATAAAAAGCAAGCCAAGTCTACAAAGCGTAGTCTTTTGTATTTTGTATACATGTATAAATGAACATAGGTGAGGTTAGGAAGTTTGAACGTAAGAGTTTTTTGAACTAATTTTAGGAAAAATAAAAGGTGGCTTTCTATGGATTAATGTAATTCTGACTAAACACAAGATTTAAAAAATTTACTTCCGAATATAAAAATTAATAAAATGAGCGTAAGATTAGTGATGATTCAGTCCTTTGTTTTTATAGACGTTGATTAATGACTTGGATAAAAGCACAGGGCGGTATCGAGATGAAGTGAGTCTCAAGACTGCCATCATGTCCTTCATCAATGCAGTGCTAAGCCAAGGTGCAGGAGTGGTAAGAACCTTCCGTACTACTCTTGAAAACATGCATTATTAAAGAATAATCTTTTTTAAAAAGATTTCTATGTACATAGTCCAAAAAGCATAAATATGTGTTTTATCACCCTTTCACTTTCAGGAAAGTTTGGACTTTAGACTTCATCTTCGCTATGAATTTCTGATGTTAGGAATTCAGCCTGTAATAGATAAATTAAGGGAACATGAAAATTCAACACTAGATAGGTAAGTCAGACTGTTATCCTCTAATTCATGCTTTTTCCGTGTACGCAGTGCCTGTGAATTGCATGTGACCTTTCTGTAACATAAGGAGCTGGCCCCCAAATATTAGTTCAACGAATGGTGCTTTTATATTAAGACTTTGTCAGTGAAAGAAGCAGCACATCGTACAGAGAACTTAATGCGGGTTGTGGCATCAGACTGAATCCACATCCTTGTCCTACCTCTTAACTTGCTATGTATTCTGGTCAAGTTACTCAATCTTTCTGAATCTTACTGGTTGTTTTTTTTCCCCCCCCAAGAAATAGTGATAATAATGATGATAATGATGACCACTATCTTTTATGGGCTGTTATGAAGATTAACTATAAAACATGGAATCACTTGGCACGATGATAGGCATTCTGTGAATGTGAATTTTCACTCTGTTGTTCATTTGCTCTTGTTTGCAATCATTTCACTATTTCTAAGATATCCCACTAGCTCTCAGATCTTTCCTTCTACTGCTCCCCTCCCTCATTCATGCACTCTGACATGCTCTTCTCCTTGGTAGTCTATGAACATGTCAAAATACTTTTGCCTCAGGGCCTTTGCACTTGCTATTTTCTCAGCATTAAAAGATCTTCCCACAGATGTCCAAATTGTTTATTTCCTTCTTCCCTTCAGAGAGACCTTTTCCAGCCAGTGTGTGTACACAACTCACCTCACCTCCCATCATTCTCTTTTCCCTTTACCCTGATGTATTTGTCTTCATAGAACTTACCATCCCCAGTATCTAAAATACATAGTAGGGGTTCAATAAATGAATAAGTGAATGGCATGAATATTTCTTTTGTGGTCTTAATTCATCAATCAGGCAAGTGTAGGTATGTGGGCTCATTTTTCCATAAAGGGAGTCTGTGAGCAGAATCTGGACTTGACTGTTTTTGGATTTGATAAACATTTATTATCTACTATGTACTAGGCATCCTAGGCTCTTAAATTTGTCTCTTATTGTGATCTCATTTCAGTCAGAATATGTCTTTTTCCTTAGAACATAGTTAAGCAAAGGCATTCAAATTTTGTTGTCTTATTTCTTTTAGAGAAATCTGAATATTCAGGAAAGGTCTTAGTATTAATGTCCTGATTCCCATGTGCTTATGTTTGTAGGATGTTCTACTTTTAATAGCTTCTCTTTTATTGGATTTCAGACATTTAGATTTTTTTGAAATGCTCCGAAATGAAGATGAACTAGAATTTGCCAAAAGATTTGAACTGGTAGGTATGCTCACAATTATTCTGATTTAACTCATCAACTCAAGGAATTTCCCTGTTGTAATGTGTGTTGAGTTGACATGGACTTGGTATACCTGGAGGATTAGCTCTGTTTGCCTTGGATTTGCTTACCTTGCATTGCAGGTATTGAGGATATTGGGTGTTTGACTTAGATTTCTTTTTCATACGGAATAGGTTCACATAGACACAAAAAGTGCGACTCAGATGTTTGAGCTGACCAGGAAGAGGCTGACCCATAGTGAAGCTTACCCTCACTTCATGTCCATCCTGCACCACTGCCTCCAAATGCCTTGTGAGTGTGTTTGTGACTTACATGTGTGTTTTCAAATGTTTGGACATCATCCAAAGGACTCTGTCTTCTGAACAGTGCTGATTAGGTTGGGTGCACACCAGGGATTCCAGCCTTGGTTTTGTGACAGTCCAAAGTGTCACACAGCTCAAGGGGTATTGTGACATTCCAAAACTGAGATGAATTATAACCTACTTTGATTTTAAAAATAAATATATGCCTTGCAACACATTTCAAAAGGGGTAGAAAATGCCTCTCAGTCACATAAATGATCATTGCATGTCAGAATTCCAGAAACTTTGGGAAGTGCTGGTGCAGATGTTGTAAACATCTCTGGTTCTGTGGCTCCAGTGGGTGACCGCTATTGAAAAATATTCATCCTAGTTTAGAAACAACTTCAAGTATTTTTCCTCCATTCTTTTCTTTTTTAGACAAGAGAAGTGGCAACACCGTTCAGTACTGGCTACTACTAGATAGAATTATACAGCAAATAGTTATTCAAAATGACAAAGGACAGGACCCCGACACCACACCTTTGGAAAACTTTAATATTAAGAATGTCGTACGAATGTAAGTTTCTTATTTTGTGGTCTGTGAAATAATAGTCACCGTGTAAGACATTTATTTTATCCTACTTTAAAATAGCAGCTGGGAGAACTGAAATGTGCTAGACGTCAAATATGAGTTCCTATATATACATATGTAATATATCTGAGTAACGTCCGGGTTTAAATGGCTTTCATGCACACTGAGGGTTTTCTGTGCAGTGGACTATTTTTGTACCTAGAGAGCATGCATTTTGGCAGTGGGCCTTTTATGTTTTTTTGTAATGAATACTCCTTTAACTATTATACAGGTTGGTTAATGAAAATGAAGTTAAGCAGTGGAAAGAACAAGCGGAAAAGATGAGAAAAGGTAAATAATGAGGCCCCGACAAGAGAAGAGGCCATGTTACTGGTTATTGGGCAACTCTGCTCTCTGTATATTTTAGAAATTTGTGCTGATACTTCTTACTGACTTTAGTGCATCAAAAAGTCTTTCCTTTTCTATGTCTTAAGGGCGTTTTTGCCCTGTTTTCTCTTGAATCGAGCTATTTTAGTTGTCCTGCTGATTGCCAAATATTTTTTCCTTTTATTATAATTATGTAAATTTTTTTGGAAGAGCTTGTAGCATTTGCTGTTTGGTATTCATTGATACAAATTTTCTTAACTACTACTCCTTCCAGCCCTCCCCCCGCCCCATAACTGTTCGTCAAGTCACACTATGTTTTAAGAAATGTCATAAAGAACACCAGGGATGACCCAGAATTTTAAAAGAGAAACCCAGGCCACTTGGTTTCAGCAGTCCCATTCACCATGTGACCTTATTTGGCACCAGTTATGAACAGAAAAATCATGTAGAAATTACTGACCACTGTCGATACATACATTATGAGACATTCTTAGACCAGCTCTTGGTGAGTATTTGAATATGTCTTGGGTATTAACACTCAGCATCAAATGCCAGGAGGGTCATTTGTGCCCATCACTGTGCCAGCTCAGAGAATGGACATAAGTTGCCCCACTTCCTTCAAAATACTAGCAACTAAAGTTGGCCCTTTTGTAAAAACAGTCCTATTCCTGGCCTCTGCTCTTTCACTATGCTGGTTAACTGATTTCCTTTTCCTTGTCCAAGTTATTTAGCCACGGCCAGTGAAACACAATAGCACTCACCCCGATATTTAGTGTGTTGAAAAGAGGGTCCAAGAGATGCCAAAGCATTTCCTTTTCCCTCATCACATTTGTCCTTTTCCATTGAGCAGAAAAGCAGGGCCACCACTGAGAGCAGAAAATACTGCATGTGAAGTACACTTCTGTTACAGGTTCCTCACTGAATTCAGATTGCTCTCACATAAGTGAGGTTGCCACATACATTTTCATTAATAGATTCCAGAAACTGCTATAGAAAGAAGAGAAACACTGACTAAAAGGTTGGGGTAAAGAGAGATTATAATGAAGAGAAAATGGTCGGGTGGTACTTTAGGGGTACACTGTAGAGCATGGGGATTCAGGGGTGCAAGCTGAGGAGAGTACCTAGGACAGAAGCTTTGGAGTCATTCAGTCATTTGTTCAGTGGATGCTTGTTGAATGCCTGTATGTGTCAGGCACTGTGCTGGGCTCTGGGTGTGTGCGTAAGGAGTCATGTCTTCTTCTCCACTCTCCTCTGTAAGATGCACGTTACACCCAACTCACAGGGTTGTTATAAAGATTAAATGACAAAACAAATACAGAGACTCCAACATAGTGCCTGGCACATATGGTTGCACAGTAAATGATAGGGACTGTGGTAGGATTCTGAGGTGTACAAGAGGTAATGGCCAAGGTCAGTAAGGTCACAGGGGGTGTGTAAGAAAGGAGGTGCTGTAGATAAAATGAACTCTTTTCTGAAAGCTTCAAGTAGCAAGGCTGTATTAAAGAGGGCACACGTTGATGAATCAGAGTGTGGAGGCTGTGAGGAGATGGGAAGTTCTTTGGACCTGAAAGGTGGAGATAAATGGATGTCCATTGTGGAGAGAATCCTTTCAGCAGCAGCTTACCAGACCTGTATTACATCAGAATCCACTAAGGGGCATTTGAAAACAAATTCCTAAGCCCTATCCTCCCAACCCATAGAACAGACTCCCAAAATGTTAAAAACTCTCAGGTGGTTCTGAAGCACAGCTGGATTTGTCAAAGCTTCAGGACCAATGATAAGAGGCAAGTCTTAAAATTGAGGAAGAGAAATGAAATGGAGATAGAAGAAGGAAAATGGGGTGCAGTGAGGTCGTTTTTAGACACATCTCTGAAGAAGTTGGGGATGCATTCGCAGAGTGGTAGAAGTGGGCTGATGGTTATTTTAACCTCAAGGCTTTAGGCTTGAACTCTTCTCTGTAAACTGGTTTGGGGGGACTCAAAGTAAGAGACGGAGAAAGCAAGAATTTCAATGTGTTATCAGATCAGAAATAGAGACCAATTCTGTGTAGCTCTGCCCCAGTGGATTATATCTCTAGTGGGTTTACTAAATAAAAAGAGTAGGAATTGGGGCCAAGTATTTGAAATGAAAATCTGCAGCCTAAACTTGATCAGTCCTCTTCCCAAAGACCCTCACTCCTGTGAGGGACTGGAGTCAGCAGACATACTGGCAATGTAAATAAGCATTTGGCTAAATTGGATGCCTTGTTCCATTAGAGCAGGATTGGGAAGTCAGTAAAACTACAGCAGAGAGTTAATATTTTTCTCCCCAGATTATGGTGATTCTCATGCCCTGCCCTTAAGGTTTTTAATGCTGAGATGATAACATTTGCTTTCACAAGTTTTAAGAATTATTTATCAGAAGCATGAAATACTTCAAGTCCAAGTAGCCTTCTGAGAGGAGAATGGGAGAGGGGACTCTGTGTTGGGACAGACGCCGTCTGGCATCAGCCTTTCCTCACAGAGCAAGATCCTCCCCTTCAGCCCTGTGCTCATTGGACACGAGCCAGCAAACTAGCTAATAAACAATGGCTTCTCTGGTTCTCATTTCTAATTTGTGAAAAGAGGCCCTTTTAATATTTGTTTTCCCTAGAGTGGTTAAAGGGCCATTTTTATGACAGGATCCTGAAGTAAGTACCAAACAAGCCCTATTCTCCTCCACAAATAGGTGCTCACACTAGTGTCCATCTTCAGAACTGTGACTTTAGAGTCTCTTCCGTATTTTACAAAATGTAGCTAATAACGTTGTTCATCTAAGGACCCCTCCAAGCGCGAACACCACTGAGCCTGCAAGTCGCTCCCTTTGATGGAGGAGAGGAATAATATTTACCCAATAAAGAGCCTCACAATCATCCTCAGCCAATTTTCTGTTTAGAGAAAGCGCTTCAGCTTTGAAGAGTCCCCTGTTTTCATGTCCCATTGTTTTCTTGTGTAGAGCACAATGAGTTACAACAGAAATTGGAAAAGAAGGAGCGTGAATGTGATGCCAAGACCCAAGAGAAGGAGGAGATGATGCAGACCTTAAATAAAATGAAAGAGAAACTTGAAAAGGAGACTAGCGAGCATAAGCAAGTCAAGCAGCAGGTGGTGGATCTCACGGCACAGCTCCACGAGCTCAACAGGGTGAGGGCTGGGGCCGCGGGCCGGGTCTTCCGTTCCTGGGCAGCTGCCGAGGCCTCACTTACCCTGGAGCCCCTCACCTTAGGCAGACAGCTTCTGCCTGGGGGAATAATAAATCCTTGTGATTTATCGCAGTGGTTATAAGACTCACTCCCTCTGCTATCGTGTGGGTTAGGCAGCAGAGGCGGTGTGGGGTGTGCGTTTTTAATACAGATCCTCTAATCAGAGCAAAGCAAAATCACATTGACTTCTTAAAATGAAAACTGATTCTGTGAAAACCAAACCATGATGTTACAAGAAGTGAGAGATACATGAATGAATGAATGCTTTACAGATAAGCACTGAGGTCCAAAATACAAAGAGCTGCCTCAGTCGTCCATGAAGACCCTAAAGTCCATTTGATTTACTGCCCCCTTTAAACCCATTTTCTCAGAAATGTGAATTTCTCTATAACACACATTTTAGGCAAAGTTTCAGACTCAGAATCATCCAATGAATTTACTTCTTCCACTGACCTTCTCTTGTCTTTTTTTTTTTTTTTTTTTTTACCTTTTCAGAGAGCTGTCTGTGCTTCAATCCCAGGTGGACCCTCACCTGGAGCCCCAGGGGGGCCCTTTCCTTCCTCTGTACCAGGGTCCCTCCTTCCGCCCCCACCACCTCCACCCCTGCCAGGTGGGATGCTTCCTCCTCCGCCCCCTCCCCTTCCTCCAGGCGGCCCTCCCCCTCCCCCGGGGCCGCCTCCCTTAGGGGGGATCATGCCACCTCCTGGTGCTCCACTGGGTCTGGCACTCAAGAAGAAAAACATTCCTCAGCCCACAAATGCCCTGAAATCCTTCAACTGGTCTAAGCTGCCTGAGGTAAGCCATTTGTTCTAATTTTCCCTCTAATGGATAGCATTAGCAGCTCACTATGTTGTGCCTGAAAAGGGAAACAGCCCTGGCTATTAAATGATTTCATTTTCTAGTATGGACTCGGGTTCTCACTAGCTCAGATATTTACGTGATAAAACTGAAATAAATGACGTGTTGTTTGAAGCCAGCCCACTTTGAGCATCTGGTAGAATGAAAAATTAGGGATAGCAGCACTTTGAAGAAAAATAAATAAATAACCACGTCTGTTCTTTTTGTGTATAACTATAAACTCTAGAACTTATTAACTTGTTGTTTGCAGAATAAACTGGAAGGCACAGTATGGACCGAAATTGATGATACAAAAGTCTTCAAAATTCTAGATCTTGAAGACCTGGAAAGAACTTTCTCTGCCTACCAAAGACAGCAGGTAACAACATGTGCTCTCCAAAATGCTAAAAGAGGAAAAAAAAAAAAATCATGTCCTTGTGCACGGTCCCTGGGCCATCTGCCACCCCATGATGTGATAGGCATCTTAGTTCTAGGCTGTTGGGTCTATCCTGGTACGTTCCTGCCAAGCAGTGTGGTGTGTATGTGTCCACATGTGTGTCTAGGTGCCCGTCAGTTATGTGTGTGAACGTGTTGAAGCTCATACCCTTGTCTCCATTGATGGAAGGAGTTCTGTATATTATTGTTATCACTTGTGCTTAGCCCAGATGGGTCACCAGGAGCATATACTCTAGGAGAGCTACCTAACTTGTATTGCCCCCTCACAGGGTTTGTTTCTCAAGCCATTTTAGTTTATCTGGCTTTTAAATATGTATATCAAAGTGGTTATTATCGGAAGTGGACTGCTCTGAAGTAGATGGAATCTTTAGAAGGGCAGAAGCTTGTAGATAACTAGAATTTGGCAGCTAGCTAGAAACTTGGAGAGGAGTTTTGACTGTATGTCATGAACATGATAGACTCAGAAGTGGGGCTGGGAAGGCAGAGTAAGTTGGTGGATGGCACTGATATGGAGAGGACCAGAGAAGCTTCTGAAACATGAACAGAGCGTTTGTGGTGCCAGTGAGAATACTAGTGATACTTGGTGCTTTCTGGCTCTCCGTGTCGATGTGGCCAGGTAGTGAGCATTACGCCATAAGCCCCGGTCACATCTGGGTGGTACCTCTTACTCCTGGAGAGGGCATCTTAGTAGATCCTCCTAACGGTAGACCAGAAGAGGTCACAGGACGGTGGCTGGGTACAGAGAATTTCAGAAGAACAGGGAAAAGGGGGAGTAGAGTCCCAGTCAATCAGACACCTGGAAAGGGCAACATTGTATCCTAGAGTATGAGCAGAAAGATTCTTCAGGGTGACTGAAGAGATGCTGCAGAGAGCAGAGCACATCTTAACTAGGAACGCATGGATGCCAGGCATCTGCCCAGGGGCTTTCCTTGGGCTTTGCTGCGAGACCTTTAATGCCTGCATGAATCATGCCCGGGGGTTGGGGGGGGCATCCTCAGACAAGCTGCACACTTCCTGGTCTGCTTAGGCTGGGCCTGGTTCTCAAGAAAGAGTGTCTCAGAACAGAACGAGCAAGCACCAGGGAGAAGACGGACTGAGGCTGGGGAGAAGCAAAAGCTGACAGGTTTTTATTTCAAAACCTTTGATGTATCTGAAATTGAAGAGAAGAGGTAGTGTATGCCTTTTAGCCAGAATATTTTCACTGAGAGGGAAAGCCTCTCCGCAGTGCATTTTAGGCTATGTTAGTAAAGTACAAAAATGCAGGTAGTTGTCTGCTATGGTAGCATGACCCTAAAACAGGAGCCCTCAGCTGGGACCTCCCTCCCTCCCCCATAAGTATGAAGCTGTTGTACACACAAAGGAAAACAAAGAAAAAGATGGTAAGACATGGCCAGTAGAAAGCCAGACACTTTAACTTTCAAAGGACAAAGGGTATGTTTTAGGGCCCTCATATGGCAGGTGCTTGGATCATACTCATTCCTGATTGACTGCAATGGGCCTCCTCACTCTGTCTTTCTCTGCTGACCCAGGAAGGTGTTCTCTGGGCCTTGACATGAAGTCATAGGACATTTAACAAATTTCCTGGTAGATTCAAATGATCTTCTGACCTCATTACACATCCAAGTGATTTCCCACTTCAGTTTTAGTCACCAATACTGGTCCATTCTGGTTGCCTAAGGTGAAGGTTTGGGAATTCAGAAAAGTAAATTAAAAGAAGGAAAAACAGCAGTTATTCCAAATGATGCTGTCCAAGTCTGAGCATGTAGGCTGCATTTATTATGAAGGCAGGTGGTTAAAAGGCCCAAGTTTACAAGACTTGTAATTAACAGGCTTTCAGCAGAAGGTGCAGAAGGATGCTGCCAAAGTGCTCTGGGACAAATATGTGGACAGTTCTCAAGAGCTCTGGGAGACAGGGTTGCAGAAAGCCTAGCAATTGGGTAATTGTCTCCTAGCAACCAATCTCTGTTTAAGTAATCAGTAGTCATTCCAGTCAGTATAGACCAGAACATTTCAGTTGTACTTAACACTAAGTAGATGGGTAAGTAGAATCATTTGTGATATTTTCAATAGCACTTCCTGGAAAAAAATTTCAACACACTTGGCTCAGCTTAATTGAAGTATGTTCCCCCTCTTGCTGCAAGAATTTGAGATGAGATTTTTAAACCACAGGTATATTTCCCAAATGAAGGTAATTGGAGCCATTTTATTGAGTTTATTGAATGTCGAGAGACAAAAGAAAAATACAAAGATGCAGACATTCTAGTAGGAATATGTAGGACAGAGTAAAGGAAATGGGGTGCCTGTCATTGAGTGTTCCCTAGTCTCCTATCTAATGGCAGTGTCTAAGACCCGTGCATTTTCATTTTAATCTTGGCAATGCACTATGTAATTATCATCACACTTGAACTGCTCTCTTTTCCACTCCCAAATGAATACTGGGAGCCTATTTTTTTCTATGGTATCTCCTCTTTCTTCCCTCCAGTTATAAAACCCTGGTCAGACTGTCTGAACTTCAGCCAGTTGTTTGAACAAGTTAGTATCTCAGAGAAGCAGAACACATGAATACCATTACCTGCATGCCTGTAACAAGAACACTACACAGAGTAAGATTTTGAACAAAATCTCAGGTATGAGATTAATATAATTTAGGTGAACTCTGGTTAATGATATTTAGGAGAGATTTTAAATAAATATGTACACATACATAACATATGCCCAATTGATCTGAGAAATATTTTATCATTAAAATCAAAGCAGATTATTTATAATGTCCACTTTGTATATGAAATACTTCAAAGGTTGCAAATGTATTAAACTGTTACACAGGCTTACAATGCAACTTGCAGTATAAAAGCAAAGAGGACGACAATCTGCAAACAACCATAATATAGACTAAAAAAGGATGATATTAAGTATCTACTACATTTTTGGTGCCGAGTATGAAATGCACAGTCTCAATCTCATCAACCCCAAAATTTGGTTCTCAAGGCGCTCTTATACTTACTTTTTATTTAACCCTCACACCAGCTCTATGAGGTATTATTCCTATCTCATCAATAATAGAAATATGGCTTCGCATATATTCAGTGTCTGAACAGGTGGCACAGCCAGGTTACAAAGTGGCGTAAATTTTCAGTTTCGCTTTGTTCTGATGCCTGGTCTTGTTCATGATGAAAATCAGGCTTTGTAAAGGATTTTCTGTAATCCCAATTTTAAGAATAAGACCATTTCTATTCAGGATTTTTTTTTTTTCAGTGTGGCTAGCAAAGGTGTACAGAGCTGATTATGTAAGCTTATGTGCCACATGAAATGGAATTTAATAGTGTGCAGTTATTCCCCTGCTTACATTCCAGAAGTTCATTTGAAAGTCAGTTATCTCAGAACCTCTCTTTCTCGTTGAAACTATATTATGCGTGATTTCCAGGCCAACCACAAAAGACTTAATACATAATGTGCATTGCATAGTAGTACTATTTCAGATAGAGTTAAACAATATTCATTTTGGTTTTGTGGGAAATTTTCATGTTGAGATGTTATAAATTCATTCTCCCTATCCATGCAGTTGGGTAGAGGAAAATGAATTTCCTATATACCTAAGGGGAGTCATATCTTTGTAGCAATAAATTAACAGCTCATATCTCCATTTCTTCTCCCAGTTCTTTGCCTGAGGACACTCCTTCTTTATCAGCATATAGTATAACATTTGAAAGCCTCTCAGCTCTGATTTAGGGAACAAAGGATAACTGTTATCCCAAGCTCCAGAATCTGACCTCTCCTGCTAATATGTAAAAGACAAGTCATTCTTGGGCTCCCATTTGGAACATTCAATGCTATCTTCTGATTTTTTTTTTATATAAATGGTCAAAGAATTTTTTTTTCTTATTCTTTTTACATTTTCATTATTCTGTAGATCTAGATTTCACATTGAAAAATTATGAATTAGGATATTTTCAATAATCTTGGCCCTTAGCCATGGCACATGAAGAAAGAAGAGAAACTTATGAATGATTGTTTTTCTTAAACCAAGTATAAGGTAGAGGTTCTGTAATTGACTCCATGGTAAGAGTTAATTAAAGGCAGGGTTTTGTATAAATAGTATGTATTTATATGAATAGTATGCATTTTTCTAGAGAGGGATCCCTAGCTTTTATCAGATTTACAAAGGGACCTCAACCTCAAAAAGATTAAGAACCATTCAGGTAAGGATTATTATTATCTGTGAAGTGTTATCATTATGTCATTGCAGAACCTTATCTCTAAGAATCTATCATCATTGGTTCCTGAAAATGCAAGTCCCAACTTTCTATTTACCAAAGCCCTACACCAAAAATCATCTGAAAGAATCAGACATCCTGTTAGGTAGAACCAAATATAGGTGATCCTGCATTGTTTGGCCCAAGCCAATTAGTGAATAATTTAAAGTTTCAAAAAGAATGATAACTTATTGGAAAGAGGCCTGGGGAAGCATCATTCTTTTTAACATACCCCCTCTAATAAGCTTTGTGATTTCATTTAAAATGTGTTGGTTAAAGGGCCCCTAAAGAAGGGAAATCTCAAGGCTAACAATTAACTGAAGTCTCCCATGGCGTTCCTCATCCTCACCTCTGGAAAGATAGGATATATTACTTAGCTTTTAACTGTTACACTTATTGCTGCTGCTGGTAACAAATGGGAGATCTTGACCAGCTGTGAAAAAGAGAGCAATAGGAGAAAAAATGGGCTTGATCGACAGCTTGAAAGATAATTGTATTGTATGATAGCTTCCAAGTATTGAGCTCATAAATATGTGTCAGGTACTCTACAAAATGCTTTACACGAATCATCGTGTTTTATCATCACAGTAATAATCCAGTTGTTAATTCCATTTTGCAGATAGTAAGACTGAGCTGCAAGCCTCACACCTAATAAATGATAGATGCCTGATTCCATAGCCCACGACGGTAAAGGTCAGAAGTCTTAATTTTCTGACAGTGGGAACTTAACAGAGACTTAAGTTGCTAGAGAACTTCATAGAAGTTTCTTCTTTGAAAGCCAGACGCTAAGAGCTGGATCTAAATTCAGCTAGCAACTTGTCTCTTTGAGAGAGAGAAGTTGGATAAGATGACTTCCTGGAATTCACGTCACCGTAGTTTTTCCTGCCCTTGGAAAGAGACACTGCTTTCCGAGGGCAAGTGTCCTAAGGAGTTTCAGAGTAGAAAACCTGGTGGTTACAACCGGGACAAAAGAAAACCATGGCATCAGAGAAGAAGAAAGGTTTCTTGTGGTTATCCACTTATTTTTAAATGCCATTCTAGAGAAGCAATTCCTCCTTGTGTGGGTGGAGCCGAAGAGGGACACGTTTTGTTTCCTGCTGGAAATGATGTGGGACAGCTCATCTGTGTAAAATTGGCCTTAGCTGTGCAGCCGGGGCCAGTGAGGCCTTGAGGAATCTGCTGGGCAACTGCTGGTTGTGCAAGCCGTTGGCCTGGAAGCTGGGGTGTGTTTTGCACACCAAAGCTTTACTCATTCCAGCATGGCAGAAATATGTAAAGAAAGCTGTTAACTTTCTCTTAATGTGTCAGTTACTTCTTCCTCTTGCTCTTCTTCGCTCCAAGTCTTGTCTGGAGCATTTCAGGAGGAGGCTACTGACCTTGTGTGCTTGAACAACCCTGAGGCAGCTGGGACAGGGCCATGAAGGGGCTGCACACCACATGATCACTTACTGTCTCTTACTTGCACGTCGGTCTTTTTCCTCATACCTACCCCCCGTGCCACCAGGCATTGTTTGGACTCTGGGGATATTGAGGGTTAATATTATTGACGTATATTGTTGAATTTGTCTGGTGTATTTTCTTAATCCTTCCTTATGGCACAAGAAGACAGGAGATTATTTCAACCCAAAATAAAAAAAGCATATTTTGCTAGTAGACATGACCATGGGAGAAGTTTCCCCAAGTTGGTGGAATTGATGGATATTTTCTGCTTCAAGTGAAAATCGTCATGTTGAATAAATGGAGCCCATTTCTCTTTCAAAGAGAATTTGTTCCTTTCCCAGCTTGGGTCTTTCTGGAGTATCCTAAGTCCTTTCTTCTTTGAATTTGATTTGCCCCCATTGAAAATTGTGTACAGCACATGTTTTCTCTCTTTCCCCAGAATGCTTAGTTCCGTGCTCTTCATTGTATCTTCAGCCAGCCTCCCCCATCTTCATCAACTCTCATTGCTGGTCCTTGGGGCATAAATCCTCTCTTACCCTGTGTCACTGATTTCCTTGACTGCTTTGACTTTCTCCCACTTGTTGCTGTGATTTCTGAACTGCATGTGTCTGATTTGCCTTTTCCATGCCTCTGCCATGGCTGTAGGATTTCTTTGTGAACAGTAACTCCAAGCAGGTAAGTAAGCAACCACGTAAACCTTGCTTACTATAACTTCTTGGCTCACTATAAGCTCAGAATGTCTTGGTTATCCAGTTTTTTTTCAGATAGTGTAACGCAGGGCTTAGGTAATTCCGCGTTGGGTTTCAATTCTTAACTGATATTTAGAGGTCTGCCTGAAATCTCAGCCTGACAGAAGACAGTTGAAGTTTGATCACATGGTGCCTCTTACTATAAACTCCATATTGTCTTTGTTTAACTAAACTGTTACACAGTTCCAGAGCTCTTTGGTTTTCTTACATTTTAAAAATGCCACGATCCATTTTTAAAATTGATTCTGACCTCTAATAAAATTAAACTTTCTATTTATCAAGTTAGTCTGTATTTTTCACCTTGATGCCCAGTTTACTCAAATAGTATTTTATATATAATTGGGTTTTTTTTGCCTCTTCCACCATAAATTATTACTGGCCATCATTGCTTACAGCTTTTCGTACAGCAGCAGCAGAGTATGCAAAGTAGTGTTTTGTTGTTAATTCAAGTAATTTAACTAATGCCTTGAACTGCCCCCTGTCTGTTATGCATCAGACTCCAGGGTGATGAAAGGTACCATCTAGGCTTGGGAGCTTCCTGTTGCACATGAGGACGTTTGGGAGGCTTTATTGTTCAGCTTTTTGAGTGGTCAGGATGCAAATGGTTCTGGAGTGAATGGGCCCTGCAAATGGCTGGGACTAGCAATGGCAAGCCTCAGCCGAGCTTGATTCATAGTGACAGTTCTTCTGTCTGCTATCCATAGGGATTTGGGGGACAAAAGGAGTGCACCACTCACTGATAATTTATGCACGCTTAGCATCTTCAACTTAGAGATGCACTTTGTTCTTCCAAAACTGCTTTTTCAAATGTGGGTGGTCAGCTTTTCTTACTATTTCCCTTTGTCAACTCGATTTTAGCCTTTCGTTTCAACTCCACCACTTCCCTGTGCTCCCTCCCTCACCATCTCCGCTTCGCCTGTGTGCGCGCGTGTGTGTGTGTGTGTGTGTGTGTGTGTAAACAAAATACAAAGGAAAAGTGTGTATCTGAAGTTGGAATGTCCCTGTTTGACTTTGATGGATTTCTTTCATGCTCTTTATAGAAAGAAGCAGATGCCATTGATGACACACTGAGTTCCAAACTTAAAGTCAAAGAACTTTCAGTGATTGATGGTCGGAGAGCTCAGAATTGCAACATCCTTCTGTCGAGGTATTGTTGGTGTTGAATAAACATTTCTGGTAGGACCAACTTTCCTCTCCTGTGGCTCCAAACCACATGTTTGTACTTATTCTTTTAATTGGACTCTGCTGAGATTCAGTTCTTTGGATTCTCTTCTGTCTAAGGTGAGGAGAACTCGTGGCCCTTACTTTCCCTGTGTGGAATGCATCAGAGCTGGATGCTTCCTTTCTCAGAGTTTAATTTCCACAGACTCCAGAAGTTAAAGAGCAGAACATCCCAAATCAATGTTTTGTTTATTTTCCAGAGAGCCTGTAAAATGGACTTTACCTTTATTTATATTTCCTAGCTTTAGAGATATTTTGATTGTTGAGTAACACTGTCCCAGAATCCGCAACAACGATGACAGCTCTTTGTTTCATTTTGCTTTTCTGTGTCACCTTTTTATACTTCAAGTTTCTGATTTCATGCTCTTTTTGAACATTTTTATGACTAAAGAGATACGTAAATCTCAAACCCCAGTGAAATGCTAATTTATCCATTTCAGCCCTGTTCAGAAATCTTTCTCATAATTAACGAACCATCACGGCCTTGGAACTTGAAAAGAAGAAAGGAAATTTGGGAGGCTGGAATCTGCTTGTAGCTTCAGGCACTGTGTCAGGTCATCCTGGGCATTTCAAGTAGCTTTTCTGTATCTAATTTCTTCTTTTCTCTAGAAGGGACTTTTCTGTCAGGCAAAGATACTTAACGCTTATGAGGTGAATGAAGATCCTGAATTTGGGGGCATTAAGTATATGTCGCATTGGTCACGTTCTGGAAAGATTGTTGTATATGTATTAAAGCTGGTGTAAGGTGGCTTCGCTTTCAGGGAGAGTAAAGAGGGAAGGTGGCAGTCTTTATTTTTTATTTATTCAGAGAGTGCAAGCAGGGGGAGGCGCAGAGGAAGAGGGAAAGAGAGAATCTCAAGCAGACTCTGTGCTGAGCGCAGAGCCTGATGTGGGGCTCGATCTCATGACCCTGAGTTCATGACCTGAGCTGCAGTCAAGAGTCAGACATAACCGACTGAGCCACCCAGGCGCCCCGGCGGTCTTTATTTTTTAGATGGTCTTACAGTGAGTTTCTTTTAACACAAAGCACTGCTGCTTGGTTTACAGCATGGAGCTTGATTATTAGCCAGATATATATGACTTTAGGGAGCAAGTGTTTCTTTTAGTAAAAGAGAAACTGAAGCTTAGTGAGATCCCTGAGTTTTAATACAACCAGTAAGGTAACATGAACCATCCTGTTAGCATTTCTTTTTTTTTTTTTAAGATTTTATTTATTTGACAGAGACACAACGAAGAGAGGGAATACAAGCAGGGGGAGTGGGAGAGGGAGAAGCAGGCTTCCCGCCGAGCAGGGAGCCTGATGCAGGGCCCCATCCCAGGTTAGCATTTCATTTGTGCCTCTGGCTGGAAGCTGTGTAAATGGCCAGGCCCTCTACTTAGCCGCATTTTTTCTCCCTGAACACATGCTCAGGAAGATACTAATGAAAAATCTGAAGGTCTACTTATTTTTATCTTCAATGGTATGTACAGTTCGTTTTGTTATAATTTCTTTTTACAAGTCACATTCTTAATAGTGACATTAAATGAAAATTTGGGGAAAGTTTTTTTTTCCCCCTAAAGCCTGGAATTTCTGCCTATATTTTGTGCTTTTGCAGTCTAGAGGAACACTTTTAAACAGCTTAACAAAGGGAGCTATCACTGAATTTCTATAGTACTTAAGTGCTCGTCGCAGTAAAATCTGTGACCCAGTTCCTCATAGACAGATTATTCTCAGCATGAGATGTCAGTGAGGATAATAATACTAACACTAGTTATAGATAAGGTTACAACTCTTTCTGGCAAATTTCCCATCTCATTATTGAAGGAATTATTTCCAATTTGTAGTGTGCCAATTTCCTTGTTACCTCAGAAGTGTCAGAGCCTAAGGTGACTTAGAACTTGTGTGTATCTAAACTCTCTCTGGAAGATAATTTTGAGAAATTGCCTTGTATCTGTTAAATTATCTATTAAAATCCAATTTAACAAATGAGTGTTACTATAATGAGCATAATTAAAAAGCGTATTGTACATAACAAGGTAATTTTGAGTCCCAGTTGACCTTATAGCGATTAGACCTTACGGATCGGGTTCTAAAACCATCTTTCCCACAGAGGATTCAGCCCTACATGCTTTTCTGCTCCATGATCAATGGGTTGACTCCTGTCAGGAAAGCACAGAACTGACCTGTAATATGCTATGTGGTAAAGGTAATAGAAATGAAGCAGATTTCGTTTTTTTGTTTGTTTGTTTGTTTGTTTTTTAAAGATTTTATTTATTTGAGAGAGAGAGCATGAGATGGGGGAGGGTCAGAGGGAGAAGCAGACCCCCCGCTGAGCAGGGAGCCCGATGCGGGACTCGATCCTGGGACTCCAG